GGCCTTGACTTTCCATTCACCAAAGATCCTAGGATCTCAGCTGATGTCTCTCTTAGCTCTTTTTCACTTTCCACTGGGAAGAAACTCCCAGTCATCATCGAGTCAGAACATCTTTGGAGTTCATCACTCTTCAAACCCGGAAGAACGTGATCGCAAGTCCAAAACCTTGAAACCATCAAGACTTTCATCCGAGACTGCATCTGGACACTAGTCAACGACCAAGGCAATGCAAGTATCGTACATTTAACTAAACGAAACAGAGGTTTAGTATAAGCTGTAGACCCCGTTCTAAAATGGCGCTGATGGTTTCAATCAGGTGGTTAACTGACTCTTTTAATAGCTTCATTCTCTGATTTTTCCTGATGGTTTCATTCATCATGCCTCATTTGCCCTTTCCCATGTATGAGTGATTGTTTGTTTGTTAGACTGGTTTGTGTTAGTGTTTAGTTAATAAAACTCTTGTGCACAAATTACATGAGTTTCTGATTCTGCCTTGCAAATTAATTGTCCCTGCGCTGTGCAAGTGGACTCCGATACGGACCCGTTTTGCGGATCCGTTCCGGAGCTTGTGGTGACTCCGGGGCGGATCCGCTCCGGAGTCATTTTGCTATCTGGGCATGCTCTAATGCATTAATACTGTATGAAAGTATTTTCTGTGGCCACATATATATCCTTTCCTAGAGTTGATATGAACTTACACTGAATGTTCGCTGGACGAACAGATTAGTTGAGGGCAATTTAATTCTGCTACAGTTACTACTGGCAGCTGATATAAATAATTGTAATTAATCATAATTGTAATTATTTATATACATTTCCCTTTTGAGCTAATTTGCAACAGCAGTGAGATACAGCTACCATATCTATGGTGTCTGGGTCAACCCAGGTAGATCATAATCATCATAATACCACATTGTCCAATATTTTTATTTTTTATTTTTTAGAAATTTTGCATCAGATTGTAAAGTCAACACCATCACGTCTCAGTAACCTCTGATGGCACCAAAAGTAAAAGACATCAAGGCAAAAAAAAAATCTCAACTGACAACTTAATTGAATTATGGTGAATTTTAACAACATTGCCAAAGTATCTTTCATTAACAAGCAATATACCTGAATCTAATGAGGCTCTTTCTGGGTTAGAACGGCTGGGAGATGATGGCTCTGTCTCCACCTGGATTAGTTCAGTCTCTTCAGTCTTCTTCTTGCGAAGGCTACTCTTAGAGAAACCATTCTTACGAGACCCATGGGGACTCCATCTGTCCCAACTCCACCTTCTCTCACAAGGTTCACGCAAGTCCACCAAGTCTAGTGCTGTGGACAAGACTAGAGAATATGGAACAAAACATTGCCAACAAGAGTCATTCAGAATGAAAACCTGTATTCTCTTATTTTATTAACCATGACACATATTTATGGGTGAAAAATTCCAATCATGAATAGTGAAAAACTGATACCTAAAAAAAATATTTTGAAATGAGTTTAAAGGATTCATTGGGACAAAGAGTAGGCCTAAATACCAAGGAACACCAATTGAAACCTACTTTATGTAAGCAAGGGATAAAAAAAAAAACATTTTATGCCTAACAACTATGGGATAGAGGAGGAGAAGAGCAGATGAGTGAGAAGGAGAGGAGGAACAGATGACAGAGCAGTAATTATGGGGGAACCTGCTGTGTTAGAGGTGACTGGCCGTGTGGCTCCATCACTCTTGCTCTCACTCTGGAAGTCATCAATAGAAGGGCTGAGTAACGGACGGCTCTCTTGCTGCTCACTACACAACTGCAACACATAAACCAAACAATTTTCACTTAGCATGCAACCATTTCCACAAAATGTTGATCTTATTTGTAACATTTTTGTAACATTTATGTAGACATTTATTTTGTTTCCCATTTAATGTTTTTTTTTGGTCAAGTCAGTCTTTTATTTTAAGTTCTTGTTTCTAGTTCTTGTCATACCCCTTTTCCTTAATATCTCCCCTCTTTGTTGTTTAGCCACGCTGCTATAATACTTTTTCTCTTCTACTCTAAGCAGAAACTACTTTAAGTAGATCACTTGTAGGTTGATTTGCCCCAAAAGTGAAAATGCTGTGGCGCTATCAGTGGTCAAGGCAGTCAAGGTTTGGCATGTTAGCATGGACCAGCTAGCCCCTGTTGGTAGATGCCAATGTTGTGCAAGATACTATCCCCCTGCAAAGACCTCACTTGGACCCCAAAGCAATTCTAGTGGCCGGAGTTTTTCATTGGTAGTCTATTTGTGCCTCATTGGAAATGAGAGAAAATCACCACATATTTTTCTTAGTCATGAAAATATTTAATCAATGTAATTACATATTTAATTCATGTAATTACATATTGCAAATCACAGTCAGGGCTGTCACTAAAATTCACAACTTTTCCAGGTTGTCCCCCTCTCCCCTGGGCTCAATGAGTAAGATTTGTCATAGAGGACCTCAATGGACCCCAGTCATCACAGGACACGGAACAGTGCTCCTGGTTGTCCACTTAACGGCAGTGGTCACAGTATACTACAAACGTTAAAAATTGTCAAATTAAACGGTTCACATTCTTTGAGTTTTCAGTTTATGGTGCAGTCACATTATCAATTTTTTTGCAAAATTCCACAGGCTAAAAGCTTTACTGTCAATAGTGTCACGGAACCGGAAGAGAGATGGAGAAAATGGGTCTTTTTAATAATAAAATGAAACAAAACGAACAAAAACTACCCCGAGGGGGAAAAACAGGCAGGCAGGCCAGTAATAAGGCAGAGCAGAGCAGCAGGTACATACCACACATACAACAAGTACTTCTGACATATAACAATGGAGCAGCACAGGACTGCAGACACCTGGAGAATAAATAGGGAGATAAACGAGGAGGGTAACGAGGGAGACACAGGTGGAGCAACTAAAACAATAATGAGGTGACAAGATGGGAGGGGACAGACAATAAGACAGGAGAGAGCACATGGCACCAAACAAACACAACACAAGCCATGTGCTCACACAAAACCATGAGCGGATTCCAGACGCTCCACCAAATGTCAAAGGAATCCAGGAGGGAGGCGGAATGGAGGTGGACTAGGGGGAGGGACGGTGGGCCAGGCCCGTGTAGGGGAAGAGGACCTGGATCCTGAGGTAGATCATGGAACCAGGGTGGAGTGTAAGCCCACCAGGGTGGAGCAGGTGAAGCTGAAGCCCACCAGAGCGGAGCTGAAGCCCACCAGGGCAGAGTAGACGGAGAAGAGAACCACCACTTGAGAGGAGCTGAAGTAAATGCCGCCACCTCGGGAGGAACTGGAGCAGACCCTGAAGGCTCCTGGCATGGAGCGGGCTCTGGAGTGGATTCTGAAGGCTCCCGGACTGGAGCTGGCCCTTGAGTGTTCTCTGAAGGCTCCCGGACAGGAGCGAGTTCATGAGTGGACTCTGAAGGCTCCCAGACTGGAGCGGGTTCATGACTGGACTCTAAAGGCTCCCGGATTGAAGCGGGTTCATAACTGGACACTGAATGCTCCTGGACAGGAGCAGACTCTGGAGTGGACTCTGAAGGTTCCCGGACTGGAGTGGGCTCCTGAGTGGACTCTGAGGCAGGCTCCTGGGAAGCTGGAGTGAACTTTGAAGCGGCCCATGCACACAGAACAGCCCTGAGGTGAAAAGCGAAGACGGCCTTCTTGACTAAGGCAGCAGCAGAGAAATTGGGTGGCTCTGTAGTGGTCTCTGTGGTCGAGACAAGGAGAGCAGGTTGCTCAGTAATGGCCTCTATGCCAACAGCAGTGAGAGCGAGCGGCTCTGTGGCGGCCTCCATGGCCAAAACAAGGAGAGCGGGCTGCTCAATAATGGCTCTCGTGGCAGTAGCAGTGAGAGTGGGTTGTTTTGTGGCAGGCTGTTCTGGAGAGGGTGGCTTAGGGGCCTCTGGGACCATCGGACTTGGGACCACCAGAGTCGGGTCCTCCAGGACCACCAGACTTGGGACCACCAGAGTCAGGTCCTCCAGGACCATTAGACTTGGGACCACCAAAGTCGGGTCATCCAGGACCATCGGACTTGGGACCACCAGAGACGGGTCCTCCAGGACCACCAGACTTGGGTTCTCCAGGACCATCTAACCTGTTAACAGCATAGAGATGCCAGCAGCTCGCAAAGACCTCAGCGGTGGGTCTGCCAAACTGGAAGCCAGCCTTAAAAGCCCTGGGCACAGCCGGTGAAGAGTTTCCGGACTGGCTGCCCTCCTGTGAAGAGGCTCTGGACTGGCGGCCATCTTGTGACGGGACTCTGAACAGGGCTAGAAAGTCCACAAACGCCCCAAAAGACAGGTGCTCAGTGCCGTACCTCCTCCAGGTGCTGATGGGCTCATCAAGGGCATAAGAAATCAAATCCTTGAGAGCCGCATCATTATACTCCAGCCCCTCCGCAGCAGTCCTGAATTCCAAGGCGAATTCCCTCATGTCAGTCCCCCGTTGCCGGAGGGAACTCAATGCCGATAATTGGAGCATACGTTGATAGAGGGGGCTTCTGGTAGTGGAGGCTGGCAGTGGGAGGTTGACCATTCTCCGCTGAGTTCTCATTAGGCTGATCCATTCTGTCACGGTACCGGAAGAGAGATGAGGCGAGGACTCAATGCAGGAGAAGAATGGGTATTTTAATAATAAAATGAAACAAAACAAACAAAAACTACCCAGAGGGGGAAAAACAGGCAGGTAGGCCAGGAACAAGGCACAGCAAAGCAGAGTAGAGCAGAGCAGCAGGTACATACCACACATACAAGTATTTCTGACATATAACAACAGATCAGCACAGGACTGCAGACACCTGGAGAATAAATAGGGAGATAAATGAGGAGGGTAATGAGGGAGACACAGGTGGAGCAACTGAAACAATAATGAGGTGACAAGATAGGAGGGGACAGACAATAAGACAGGAGAGAGAACATGGCACCAAACAAACACAACACAAGCCATGTGCTCACACAAAACCACAGGAGTGCCATCTGGTGGCCATCTTGGGCACTCCAGCTGCAGACCGACAAATAGTGCCCACACTATAATTTCACACATAAGTCACTTACAAATCAAGATTTCTGTTGATGGTCAAAAGTGGCAAATTTACATTATCCTACTTGATCCCGTTGTGAAATCTGTGGGAAAAACTTTCGTCCTCACATGGAACAATAATAAATGTGACTGCACCTTTAGTTTGGTTCGCAAGCTAACAGCTTAGCCTAGTGCCTTAGAAAATGCTAACTGGTAAAGAAAACCAGTTATGAAAGTAAAAGACTCATAAATTAGATGTAGCTCTTAGCTTTAGTTTCTCCAACACCTTCATGTTTCCAATCCAATGATTGCTGCAACCAGTAATCTCCTTAAATGTTAGTGTTACATCATATTACATACTCATTCCAGTGAGAACATGAAATAATTAGAACTGAGATTATTATTCTTTACAGTAAATCATCCAATCTCACAACACAGAGGGTGTCTTATTACCTGTGGATAGTAGTAGTAATGATTGAAATCTCTGATTCAGACCAAAAAATCAGATACTTACTATCGAGCATATTGCATCTTTTAATTGATGCAATGCTGTAACTCAGTGACATTTCCAAATAGCCTAAATTTTCATAAATATATTGATTTGTTTACAAGAATAAAATAGACTATTACATGTAACAATACAATATACATATGTGTATACAGTACACATATCAATGAATCATTCTGGTGTAGCAGGTTGTGACACAACCTTCATATTTGGCCATAAGAAGTTACACAATGGCCATTTTTATGGCTGTCAAGAATTGCTAAATTAGAAAACAACTGCCCTTGACACAGGTCAGCACTGAAAGTGCCCTTCACTTCATAATTGAGGTCATAAATTATCAATATGGGGCATACAACAGAACCCATTTAACAGCCTTGTGTTTGGTAAAGGCCTCTTGGTAATGTGTAAAACGCATGAGGTCCATCCTGAAATCTTACAAGCACCAAACTAATTTTTCATAGTCTAAAGGTGAATTCACACAATAGTTTCAGCGATTTATTGACAAACCACCCAAAATCCTGTTTAACTAAATGTGCAGATATTTATGATCTTACTTTTCAAAACATGTCAGTTTATGCAAATTAGGCTTATTATAGACTTGCCTTATTCAGAAAACCCAATGCTATTTGTCTGGCATATTAACATTGTGCTATGACTGCCCACAGAAAAAAATCTGTAAATGTAATTTTATTTAATAGGGTTTTTTTTGTTCATGTTATATTCATAATAGCAGTCGAGTGTACTTTCTGCATTTTAAAGAATGATAAAGTAAAGTATGCCAGACTTCAATAGTCTGCTGCATCCAACACAACCAAGCATTAAAATGGCAGTTTGCACTGTTACCTGATTTTTAAAATTCTTTAAGTGAAAACAGCATTGTGCTAATAGTGAGTACAGTCCATTTTTAGTTAAGTCCCCCCTATGAATCCTAAATCTAAATTTCATATTTTTATTTTCAACTGTTTCATACCTGTGTATGAAGTAACTTCCTCATTGATTTATAATTATTTAGGTCATTGATTTGCTCAAAATTTTGTCTTTTGTGTATCCTAATTTAGGCTAAATTGTACAAGAATTCACCAATTACTTTCAATTTCACTTGGTCTTTTGTTAGGGATGAGATAGCAAGTGTTTTTCAGCCCATTTCACAATACACGCTCTTAACAGTAACTGGCAGTAAATTCCCCATTGAGCAGCTCATCACTATGTATTGAGAAATGCATGGCTCTCTGCCACATCCCCAGTGGAATAGAACCAAGCCCTCCAAACCACAAAATCCTCCAACATGTGGGTAAACCTTTTATAGACAGACAAAAATGACATCCATTTATTAACTTCATATAACTGAAGAATGGTAGTACAATAAATAAATAACATAGGCCTCCCCACATTGCAGCAAGACTCTACATCCACATTTCATTTGCTTCCTGCAAATGACCGATTCCCTAAGTGTGAGCAAACAGCAAATAACATGAACATGCAGCTCTGGATTTGGTATAAAACAGTAAACGTACATGCGATTCAAAGCCAAAACAAGAAACAGAAATAAAATGTAAGCAACAGAACATTCTGCAGCTGCTTATGAGGAGAGTAGCACTCACGTAAAGCAAATGCCACTCTTGTTTGTGTCGTGAAACACTGACGGTCTCAAAGGACCACCCCATTTTCATGGGTCTTTATGACATCATCTAGTGTGAACCCCATAAAGCAGCTTGCTTTCAACAACAAGAAGCAACTTCAGCACTTCCACACATATGGCTCATGTGTGTCACGTAACACTAACGGATATTCAGAACAGGGTGCACCAAGCTCTTGGTGTTACTTAACTTATTCACACAGTCACACTCACGCTTGGTGCTCCCTGTTGGTGGGTGTATGTGCTCAGCCCACCTTGGTTGTCACGGTGAGCAGGGGTTTTCCATCTGAGGATGCCTTACTTGGTAGCTCCTTCAGCACCATAGCAACCGCCCTAGAGTCTTTCTCCTACAACAGTGAAATCAACAGTGAGTTGTGTCAGTTTGTGTTCAAATTCCTGCAATTCTGCGGGTTCCTTGAGAAACACTATTAAAACATTACCAATTCAAATGAAATTCTGATAATTTACAGGCTTACAAGAAAAAAAAAACCCTCTTGCTTTTTAAGCCATATTTTGTTGGCTGAAAAAAGTTACATTTACCCAACTGACACAAAGCAATGTGCATAATTAGCATGCTATCATCTATTCTACAGCCCAAAATAAATAATTAGGGATGCACTATATATCAGTATGATATTGTTTATTGGCCGGTATTTTTTGGCAAATACGTTTTTATTATTTATTTTTATCAGACAATCGGTTAATTTAAGTGTGAATGGTTTAATCACTTTAAAATTAAATATCACTGTTAAAAGTAAACTTTATGTTAAAAAGTATAAAGTTTTTGTACTGTACATATATATAAAATGTTGTGATGCCTAAATTCCTGTGTAGCATCTACAATAACTGATTTTAGCTTTCAGCATTTTATTTTTAATTTATTTAATTAGTATATACTAATTAGTATATAATTTAATACTGGCTATTTATCAGCCATAACATGAAAATAATTATCCACTTATCAGTAATATTAGTGCATCCCTATAAATAAGATCTATTTGATATGAAGAACAGTTATCATTGCCAAAACTTTGCCACAACATAAAACTACTTATCCTCAGCAAAGACATGCTACAGTACATAAGAGTGGTAAACCATTGCGCTATTCAGGGATACACTGACTAGACACCAGCCAAAAACATGGGGCTAACAACTGTGCTTTTAACAGTCCCTATGCCACTCAGACAGATCTAAGCACTTAAGCCACCACTGGGACACTGAGAGCTGGAGTGGAAGCAATTCACTGGCAATGTTTAACACTGCAGAATGTAATTTAAACCCCAATGTATTTGCTGAGTTGAACAACTACACATTTGTTCCCATATTGCAATCAAGATCTAACTGTGCTGTTTTATAGTGACCAATGAAGTGAACCTCTAATGCAACACTCCAGGGTCCAGCAACAAAAAGCAGCAAAAAGAAATGTTTTTAAACTCTGGAGACTTCTAAGAAACAAAAGATCTTTCAAAAAAGATGCTATCAATAAGTTTGTGTTTTAAACGTATTTAACCTTATTAAAAAATGCCTATGATTGTTGGGTGTTGAGGGTGATTACAAAGTTGTTGCTATGTGCTTGCTAGGGGTGCTCATGAATAGATGATAGGTTGTGCAAGGTGGTTTCTAAGTGAATGCTTACAGGCCAAAGCTGAAAAAGCCCACCTCATGTCTCTGTTATATTCTCAGGCCAGCTGAACCAGCTGTGCATATGTTAAAACTTAGCCTAGTTGTGTCTTAAATGGGCCATAATTTAAATATTTGAGTGCACTATTAAACATCACTCCATGTAAACCAAAAAAGCCAGGGTAGGGTTGGGCAAAAAAATCGAATGTGTATCAGCAATCATAAATTTCTTAGAAATATATTTTACCTAGCTGACGAGGATCGCTCAGTCGCTTTGTGTCAAACTCAAATGCAGTTACGGGGTTTTTGACCAGTGAATGTGTGCAAATGTGCATTTTGTCCGTCATTAAAACTGCGGCATTACGTTTTCATCACCAGGTGTTTGTTGTAGCTATATGGGCGCGGCGCTCAGTTTCAAATACATAAATTATGAGCCTTTATAGACATAGTGTTTCTTGCGTAAAGAAAACGCTGTACTTATTCAAACAACAAGATCTTTATTTACCCTTGCAGACCTAGTTCAGCTGCTGTGGAACTTCAGTTCATTCAGTCAAGATAGAGGGGGTGGAGTTATGAGGTTTTACTGACAGTTTGAGCGGATCCAACAAGATTTAGTCACAAGCTCTTTTTAATACCTTTCATTAGCTAAATATTTGTAAAGCAGACAGACAGATGTAAAGGGTGACCAATATCATTTATTTATTGAAGGAAAAAAAAAAAACACCATCACCAAAAAAAGGGCACTTCGGAGTGTAAGGGCAAAAAGGGCATGTGCTCTGCACAGGTTGAGCCCTACCTGTGCACGTGCCTGCACAGAGGAACAAGTAGCTGAAGAATGAACTGAATGACACCAGCATCACTACACTAATTCCAAGAATCAGAACTTGCAGCACGTATTCTAATATTTCTTCAACACATTGCCGAAGGTCCAGAAGGTCCAGTAGCCAGCAGATGTATTAAGGTGTTTACAACTCAACGCATACTGTACAGTGTGGCATATTTAATAAGATATGTTTATTTCTTAAGTTATAATAAATATTAGTCTACATTTGTGTAGGTTTTGAATTCATGCACTGTATGTGCACATTTGTGTATGCTTTGAATTTAATGTATAATGTAAATTTTGAATGCAATATTTGTATGTCTTTATTTTATTGTGTATTACATGTACACTTGTGTATAATAATATATAATAATACATAATTGTGTATATTTACATTAAATAGCACACTGACCAACAATAATTACATTTCTATCATGACAACTCTCGGAGGGACTGGCATGGTAATGTTCATGACAATGTTAATGTATTTGGTCTTGGCGGAATAGATCTGCTACGCTGCTGCGGCAGAGCAAGTACCGAAACTTGCTACTGTCAATACATCCACAATATGCTGCTGTGAGCATGTAAGAAATACTGCTGCTGCACATATAACATTAATGAAATACTCCCATATAGCATACATGAATCACCCCGTAGCAGACCTATACAGGTGGAGCTGGGGAGGTGGAGGGTGGAGGGTTTCTGAAGCGCACTGCAACTGCAACAGCAATCACTAGCCAAGTATTTGAATGTTGAGCTGCTGATTGGCTGCTGATAAAAAAAGAACCAATCAGCTGCGCCATGAGACAATGTCATTATGTCCGATTGAGTTACACCTATCGGACTGCGCCATCTAGAGTTTCATGATAGAACTTTGGATTTGTTTGAATATCTATCTATCTATCTATCTATCTCAATTCATTCATTTATTTATTTTACCATTACCATGGCCCCTTTAGGGCAGGAGTGTCCAATTCTGTTCCTGGAAGGCCACTGTACCGCAGAGC